CTATTTAAACACCTCCCTGTACGCGCTGGATCTGGAGCTCAGTGTCTCAAACAGTCCTCTAATTGACTCCGACTGAGTTTAGTGCTGATAATCAGACATTTACAGCTAAATATAGATAATAACCCCACAAACACAATCACAGTGGGGAAGCAGCGGAGTAATCCGACAGAGGGTGTGTTCCAATCCACAAGAGGTGCCCTTCAATCTTTCCCTCAAAATCAACAAAGCACACAATCAAACATATTTTCAAAGAAAATTAATAATATTTAGCTCTGTCTTTCAATTTACACCGATAACACTGTTTTGAAAACAGCTGACAGTAAAAATGCGTCTCAATTTGAAATCAAAAATAAAGCCTGTCTTGATGAGTTTTAGCACTCAGTATGAATCCAAGAGGAGAGAAAATTAATAATAATAAAAAAAACATGGTAATCATTTAATTGTACTCAATAATAAACAATCGAATGAAATGTTATCAAAATTCTAACAATGTCAGCTCACAGACACGCCACAGTAACAATTTCTAAAAATGCAATTATCAAAAGTAAATTTTTGATCAAAAATGAAACAAATTCATAAAAATATCAAACTTCTGTTGGTGTTTCCATGTGAAATAATGGCATATCTGAGTAGCCCAGGTAAATACTTTGTAATTGTAATTGACTAAAATACCAAACAATTCTGCAAAATCACAATTTAATGTGATAATAAAAGAGATATAATGATACAACAATCTTGAACAATATATCTAAACTTAATGTTTAAGATGTGATCTAGAACCAAACATGGCAAACTGTAAAACCCAATAACTGAAAAAATATGGAGTGTAATTTTGTATGACTGCAATACTTGAACTTGATCTTGCTTTAAGTATAAAATTCAGGATTTATGGAATAAATTTAATTCGGTGTGTATTGACTGTTTTAACTTGTTCTTTACCTGAATTCACTTGTATCAACTCCAGCAGTCTATTGTTCATGGCTTAAACACAAAAACAACAACAATAATATTACAGTCAAATCTTAAATGATATAAATGTACATGCATCTTCACGAAACAGCTTGTAGAAATGTGGGGAAAAAGTGAAACAATATGGAATGACTAACAGATTTTTCTTTGTGTTTCGTAAAATGAATTTTTTGAATAAATATTTGGAAAAAATAAATCAATATCAAATCTTTGGATTTACCTGCGTTCTCTTTCTTCAGCTCCTCAATCTGGCAGTGACTTAACTGTATCTGCACCATCTGCTCCACCACCATGTCCCTCAGCTCCCTCAGTTCAGTCCACACATCGGGCTGGTTTGGATTCAGCTCTGATCTCTCCACACGACTCTGGTTCTGAAGTCTGTTCAGTCCAGACTGCGTGTCCTCCACTGTGAGCTGGTCATCACCTCTCTGGAGCTGAACACAAGACAAGCTGACCCAAAGCAGAACCACACTGACCCTCATCCTGAGATATTTACAGTGTATAGAGTCTCTCACTGGAGTCCTTTTATACAGTCATTTCAGACTGAGTGTTATCAAGAAATTTCATTACTAGTGCAAATATTTCGCTGCTGTCCTTGAGGGAAAAAAAAACAAAACAAAAAAAACATGGGAAATTATCAGCTGACACAGGTCTAGTTTCATGTTTTTCATGGCCTTTACTGCATTTGACAGTTTCTGCAGCAACATAATTTACTTTGGTTGAAACTGAATGATGAATGTGAGCTCAAGGTGCAGACTTGCAGCTTTAATTTAAGTCTGTTTACATCCAAACTGGGTGAACTGTGTATGAACTACAACCATTTTTACACATAGCCTCTGATTTTTAGAGGATCAAAAATAATTGGAGGACCTACTGATCATAAATTAAATTGTTGTTTTTAAAACTTGGTTGCAATTCAGTGATTGCCCATAGACATCACCACATGCTGGGATTCATTCATGGTGATGCTCTGAGGCCTTCACTGCAGCTGTGTCCAGTTCCTGCTTGCTCTTGATGAGCTGTACCTTCAGTTTAGCCTTCATGAAGTGAAAGTTATGCTGAATTGGATTGAGGTCTGTCCTGTTGGGTCATGGTATTATACGAAGGCATGGCACCTGATGTGAATGACCATGCGATGATGTTTCAGTCCAGGCTATTTAGGATAATTTGTTGAAATTACACAGATCCTTTCTCCGGTACGAATTGGCCAGTCAAAAAATACACAGATTACATTACAAGACCTCCTCTGGTAGACTAAACCAGCTCAAGTAGGGCTAAATATACAAAGTGAGCTATATCAATAGTGCGTTTGAAGCTTCCTTTAAAGATAATCTAGATAAATCCTAGAATGGTCACTGCAGCTCTTCTGATTGATTGATTGATTGATAAACAAATAAATAAATAAATAAATAAATAAAAACTCCTGCCATTTAATTTTTTGCACTATGATGTCTGTGCTTAAATTACTATACTTCTGTGCTATTGCACATGAAAATATTATAATATACATAAATTATTAACTCAAGAAAACCTTTATTTAATAACCTTTATTCCAGGGCAAATGTTTCGGTTCTGCCCTTGAGATAAAAACATGAGAAATTTTTCACCTGATACACGTTTGAAATACATGAAGTGTCACTTGAGTTCATTACCGCATGGCACATGCCAGCAACTCATGCACAAGCCTCAAGGTTCAGAAAGATTCAGATTACTGATTCGTTCAGAGTGAAGGGCTTCAGGGTGACCACAGTGGTGATTTTAATTGTTGGATTCAGCTGTAAACTGTTCATTTTATATACATTTTTCTTTCAAATTAAAAGGTTGAACCAAGAAAAATGTATGATTATAATAGGTGAATGCATTGCAGGTGAAAGCTGTTTATTTCTTACCACAAACTGAATCCAAACATTTTTGGATGCTGGGTTAAAAGCTAGATTTGATTGCTTGTTGTATAGTGCTTTGATGAAAACTTCTTTACCTACACTGAAATTTCAGTGGAGATTCTAGCATATAATTGAGGTGACTATAGCAAATTTAAGTGGTTTAGGGCTGCTGGAACCATGGTGGCGAGTGGGCGCTTGACCCAACACTTTTTAGAGTTCTGGGCTGATGCCCCACTACTTTTTGAGTTCAGGATGTGCATATCCTGATTGGCAAAGCCAATGAGAATCTCTATTTCAGCTGAATTCGGTATTAAATTAGTTTCTTTTTTGTTCTGTGTTCAGAAAATGTTAGCATTTTTTCAATATAAAAGATGTTCAAGTATTTACAAAAAAACTCCATAGGACCCCATTCATTTTTGACTCACTCAGGACAGCCCCGATTTCTCCATAAACACATTTGTCTCATTTAAGCAGACAGATGTTTTTGCCCTTGAGAAGCCCTCAGCAATGTGTCATAAATAAAACAATAAATCCAAGAAGTGTTTGCTGGAAGACGCTCAGGCTGTGAATGGACGTAGGGTGTGGCTTTTTCTCGGCAAGCTGTTACTATCTTCTTGTAAACAAAATAATTAACGCTGTCAAGATGAGGTGACTCTGCACAATTAAACAGTTTCCTTCTGAGATAATGTTTGTTATAATAAGTCAATTAAGACCTAATGAGTTAATTAAGCGCTGAGACAACTGGAATGGTGTCCAAACTTTTGCATGCGTCACAATTACTATTTTATTTTTATCTCCTTTTCAAGCAAGGCAAATATAAAGTGATTGTGCTTTATATTTGCATAGACATGTTATTTCATGTTTTACAAGTCACACACACAACAGTAAACAAAATAGTAAACAGTACACAGGCAAATAGTAGAACACTCAGTAGATCACTGTCACGCTTCCTGGTTCTCATTCGGACTCCCAGACCACCAAGAACTCCACTTCCTAGAATCCTTCAGTCAGTCACGAGACTCTTCCAACCAATCACCAACCACCTAACAGATCACAGTCACCGGAATACTAATCATCATCACCTGTTGTACTCTGTATATATACCGGTTTGTTTGAAACATATCTTTGCGAAGTATTGCCCTTACCTAGTCTGTGCATACCGAGCCGTTTGTTTTTCTGATTGCTACTCCGTGTTTGACCTCGCTTGTTTTTTCGTTTTCGATTCTCGTCTCTGTCTTGGCTTTGTTGTTTTGGTTTATGTGCTATTTCTGGTTACGACCCTCGCCTGTTTTTTCTACACCGCTCTCGCCTGTGCCCCTGTATTTTGTCTGCTTGTTCTGGTTATTGGCCTGGTCTGGTGTTAACCCTGTATACTCCCGTCAGAATAAATCTTCCGGATTAACCTTTATCCGCGTGTGTCTGATTTGCAAACCCTGCGTTACAATCACAAAAGATACAATACCTTGCAATTAGCTATGGCTAAAGCCTGGGCTTATAAACTAAACTAAGAAGGTCATATGGCATGAGGCACAGGTGAAGAGAATCAGTATTCAGGAGATCTAGAGCACTGATTGGAGTGTAAGGAGAGGTCAGGAGTCATGTGATCTCCCAGAGGATGTGTGACAGACACAAACTGCAGTAAGAAACAAAAACAAATCTAAAGACTATCCAACCAGCTAAACACAGAATCAGATTATTGACCAAATGAATCACTTTCATTAAAGCATCATTGAGAGTTGTGATCAGCACTAATACGAGTAAAGAGTGTAGTGACTTTATGCTGGACGTTTTAGCAGCAGGGTCAGTCTCTCGCAGAGGCACCAGGCAAGTGTCAAGTTGATTAAATAAATATATATATAAAGCTGTGGGTGTGTGTGTAAAAATGGGGAAAAAATGAATTTATAAAAAAATAAATAAAAAAACATTCTCATAAAACAGACTCTTTATTGGAAAAAAATGTGGCAAATGCAAAAGTTATGGCACATTTTACATAAAATAAAATTCTGCATTAAACTGTCACATTGCTGTGTTGAAGTGTGCTTTCTGTAGAGGATATGTTAGCTTTCAATTAGAAAAGCGGTGTTACAAGTTACAGGGTGTTTACACTTTTACATACGACTGTATGCCCATGATTTTTATTTTTTTTTCATATAGGGAATTTTATATGTTTATTGCCTTCTCCTTCCTCTTTAGTAAAGGCATTTAATAAAGGCTTATTATTAAAAGCACTTTACACTGGAAAGAGCAGAAAACCACTGAAATTGCAATGATTGTCAACGTTGTCGAAAATCTGACATTCAGCAAGGAGCTTAATGTAGACAAGATCTCCCTTTTCCAGCAGTAGAGTGGCTCCACTGGAAATGTACTCATTCACTCCATCTGGACGTTCAGACACATATAAGATCTTCTCCTGATTTTTAAACAGATGTACACACATCCAGTGTGAGGCGCTGTTACTGAATACATTAAACCTGAAGTAATAGACTCCTCTGAGTGGAGCAGTGAAAACACCTGCAGAAGGAGAAACAGATGGATCAGTACAGAGTCTCTACATCACCAGAGAGAAGAACCAAACCAGACATCAGACACTGTCTCTGTACTGACTGTACATTTACCTGTGATTGGACTGAAAGCATTTCCAATGTTTGTGATCTCTTTGCTGAAAACCAGTATGGTGTTTACACCTGGCCCGAGGTAGCCATTTAAGCCTGAGGCAGATGAGAACGCCACCTTTGGTCTGTCTGCATGAATGAATGAATGAATAAACAAACAAATTAATCAATGTCATTTTTGATACTGTTTTGATGTGGTGAATTTTGCATGTTGCTCAGCTTTTTTATTAATAAAGACTTTGAAAAATGATCTTTCTATTTCACATATAGGACTTACTTGCATTCTCCTCTCTCAGTGCTTCCACACCCACTTCAGTAGAGACTACCCTCCCCTCCAAAGCTGTGAGACACACACAACAAATAAATAACTATCCAACCAGCTAAATGCAGAATCAGATTATTGACCAAATGAATCAGTTTCATTAAAGCACCATTGAGAGTCGTGATCAGCACTAATACGAGTGAAGAGTGTAGTGACTTTACACTGGACGTTTTAGCAGCAGTGTCAGTCTCTCGAAGAGGCACCAGACAAGTATCAAGTTGCTTGATAAATAAATAAATACATACATACATAAATAAATACATAAATAAATAAATAAATAAACAAACTAGGTCTTGATCAGATTAAGGAGCAACTGAACCACTTTCTTTAAAGCACCAATCAGGAATCAGAACCAGGGCTGATTTAAGTCTACCAGCAAGGGGAGCCCCAACAATATCTGCCTGCAGAGCCACAGTTTCACACCAGCAGTTTCACTACAGCAAGTTCAAGCCAGCGGCATTCAACGCTTATTCTGATTTTTCTTAAATCAGGCTAATCAACATTTCCGTCTTTTTATATAGGTTTCCAATCAATTTTCATATATTTGTGTTGGGCTAATGATATTATTTGAAGCTTTAGAGCAAAGATTCACAGGGTAAATATTACACAAACTACAGCTGATGTGGCTCTGGGTAAAGTAATGGGTTATGTAGATATATAGCTCAGTTAACTTACCCTGGGGCTTTATGTGAACACTGACGTTGCATGTCGCTGTTGTCAGAAGAAAACCTGGTAACACTTTCTGTGAATGTCACCTTTGTAAGCATCTATAAACACATTCATAACATGTTATAATGCATTCATAAGACATTATAAACATAGCTATATATATTCATAAAAATGCATTACACGTTATAGCCATGCTTATTATGCATTATGAATTGTTAACCTAATACATTATAAGTACTGATCATAACAAATTATAAGAGCTCATAAGTTGTATTTGTCCGCTCTAAGTAAAGTGAAGCGTACTGTACTAAAGCCTCCTCCAGTGTTCAGAGTGAGGCTTCAAGTTGAAGTATTTACTGAAGGATTTACTGAAACACTAAAACATTCACAATAAAGCACATTACAGGCTTCAAATGTCAGAGTTTAAACTAGAGCTGCCATCAGTGTTTTACCCAATGTGGGAAAGGTAATGTTCACCACCGTTAGCTTGGTATTTGTCTTTACTTTACTCTCTCTAAGCTGGGACTGACTTCTTTGGCACTGACATTATAACATGTTATTAACACTATTTATAATGCATTATATTAACAATTCATAATGTATAATAAACATGGCTATAAAGTGTAATTCAGTGTAATTCTTTTTTTTATAAATATTTATAACCACATCTATAATGCCTTATGAATACATTATAACATGTTATAAATGTGTTTATAGATGCTTACAAATGCAACATTCATAGAAAGTGTTACCAAAAACCTCATATCTCCATTTTTGACATTTTTCCATTTCTGACCTAGTTTGAAAATACCTGTTACCCTTTACATTGTGTGTAAATTTCATGATGAATGGACTAAAAGAAATGACCCAGAATGACTTGGAAAAAAGTCCATGGTTCCATTGACATTAAAAGTAAAGTAGGTTACCATTTTGGAGATACGAGTTTTTTTTTCCGACAACAGCGATATGCATAAAACTTTACGTTAAGCAGGTTTAAACTGAGCATAATATTAAGCTTCAGGCTAAATCATGAAGTGTTTCTTTTTGTTTATAATGGTTTTGTAATGTGCTTTGGTTTATGGTTTAACTGGTTACCAGTGGTTGATTCCTATATTTAGCAACGATGCCCCTTCCTGAATGGTAATATTCATGGTGACACATACAACCAGCACAAACAGTCACTGACGTTCAAGGCGTTCACAGACGTTCAACCGGCCCCTGGTTGAAATACAACTGGGACACTCATAATGGTTGACTTTCCAATAAGGACTTTATTTACATGCACAACTGCGCTGTCCTACTGCACATTCATTACACTGGCCTGAAACTGCTGGAGTCTAACTGTGGGTGTAAATCTGCAGCTCTGTGGCTCTGCCGTCAGACTCTTTTAGGACAGCAGTAACTTTCACAGTGTTGTAGTTCTGCTGTCTGCTGTGTTTTTTAACTGTTGCTGTAGTTTTTGTTTGAGGGTTAATTTTGTGTTCTTTGTAGGAATCAGTAGAGCCTCTTCATTGACCTGGTTCTAATTTGCATGAACATAGCAGGGTTACTTTCTTGTAGAGGATCCCAACAAGTATCCCGTTTTTATCAAAATGATATATTTACACTCAGTACTTAAGATGTGAGTAAAAACTGATTTGGCAGAGTTTAAAAAGAATAACTTTAAAAATGATTTGCAGCACAGCTTGGAAATTTTGCATGCTTAAAACATTTTACCTCTAAATGTAAAAATAAAATGTCAGTCCTGGGTGTGTTGGCTTCACACTGTAGCATATTTCATTCAGTTTGTCTTGATTTTTTGTTTGTTTATTGATTTACTTATTTATTTATTTATCTGTCATCATACCTGCATTCAATTGCTTCAGCTCCTCCACTTGGTTCTCAGTAGCCAACAGTCTCTTGTTCATGGCTGAAACACAATAATAATAATAATAATAATAATAATAATAATAATAATATAAAAACATTACTGTTATATGCAGAAGTTTGAACCTTGCTGGTCAAATTTCATGTTTTCTTGATTTTTAAAATGAAAATAAGTGAATACATGCAAATATTATTAAACAATATTAACCAATATAAATGTATGTGAGTCGACATATAGATTCAGCAATGGAGGAAAAACGTTGCTGGGTTCAGTCATTCGCTGACCAGATTAAACAAAAAAAAGTCCTGCTGGGTCCTTGGTGAGTTGATGTGGAATGACCAAGCACCAGCAGCATATTCAATTTTGTATGTATTTATTTATTTATTTATTTATTTATTTATTTATTGATTTATTTTGGCCTGAATTCACTTGTGTCAAGTCTGTTATTCATGGCTTAAACACAAAAATAACAGGAACAACATTAAAGTACAATCATGTTAACCAATATAAAAGTATGTAAATTATTACAAAACCAAATGTAGATATATGTAATAATTTGATACCTGATGGACCATTTAAAATATTACTTAAAAAAAAAAATGTAGCATTTTACCTTTTGTAGATTTGCAGAGTTGCTGGACATTGACTGATGTTCATTTTTTCCACTCTTGCTACGTCTTCAGAAAAATAATTTAGAATTTTTAGCTCACTTTCAAATGTCTGGATTTACCTGTGTTCTCTTTCTTCAGCTCCTCAATCTGGCCTTGACTGAACTGCAGTTGGCACTGAGCAGAAGTGAGCTGCACCCTCTGCTCCACCACCATGTCCCTCAGCTCCCTCAGCTCGGTCCACACATCAGGCTGGATGCTGGTTTGGTTTGGATTCAGCTCTGATCTCTCCACACGACTCTGGTTCTGAAGTGTGTTCAGTCCGGATTGCGTGTCCTCCACTCTGCGCTGGTCATCACCTCTCTGGAGCTGAACACAAGACAAGCTGACCCAAAGCAGAACCACACTGACCCTCATCCTGAGATATTTACAGTGTATAGAGTCTCTCACTGGAGTCTCTTTATACAGTCACTTCAGTGTCACTGAGAGTTCAGACAGCAGGTGCTAATGTTTAAAAGCTGTCCTTGAGATAAAAACATGGGAAAATTGCCACCTGATGCATGGCTGACATATACACTTCTGCCTGGTCTCATGATCTTATTTAACATCCATTAACTTCCATTCACCTCACCCTTACCCCCCCCCCCAAAAAAAATCATTTTATCGTTTCTGTAAAGTGCCAACTGCAATTTTATGACTGAACACTAGATGTCAGTATTGTAAAGCTAATAAAGGCTGACAAGACCCCATACAGCTGGGGAGAGAAGAAGAATAAAAAATAGAATTATTAATTATTAATTATTAATAAGTAATTCTTTCCCTATTTTTTAGTTTTTTTATTATTATTATTTTGTTTTCCAGTTTCAATTTACTTCTTTATAAGAGTGCAGAGTGCATAAGACTGAAGGATAAGATGGAGAAAAAAAAAATTTAGGGAGAGAGGACATCTTTGGTTTCTTCGTTTTCTCCTGGTCATTGCTTTGGTTAAGGAATTAAATTTGATGTATTTTCTTTTCTTTTTGTTGTTTAGGTTTAGTTAGCTGTTAAAACTTAGTTAGCTTTATTATGTCTGTTATTTTCTCCTCCCCTCCTTTCCTGTTGTGTTGTTTTGGTTCAGTTTTCTCATCTATGTTTCAACTTCAATAAATTTATCAATGTGAAGCTGGATGTTGTATGCGTGGTTGAGGGAATCGGATGGGCATGGTCTCTCTCTCTCTCTCTCTTTCCTTTTATGTTATGGCCTAACTCTAGACTGGGTCATAACACAAAGACTGATCCAACTTACTTTTACTAATTCTGGACATGAGCTTATTGCAAACAGCTAATGAGCTTTAGCAATCACTGCACAGCTGCAGGCCTATTACCTTTCCCATTCTTCTCCGCATGGTCACACAAGGCAACAGGAAAATCAGTGACAAGGTGTTCATGTTCATTTCTTACTGACCTTTGAAATGTTGCCTAAATGATTTGAAATCAGTGGGTAAAGTGATGTGAATCTCAGTTTCAGTGTTGTCTTCAAAGTCACATTTCAAAGCATACAGATGCCCCTCTGTAAATATATGAAGATTAACATGCAATCACATAAATTAATATGTGAAGCTGGAGATAGATTTGTGTTCCCCTGAGCTTTAGCCCTCCTAAATGCTCTTTAGCCCACTCAAAGAAGTGAAAATTACTAGTTGAAATCAACAATAGTTTTTTCTCATTTATTCTTCAGCTTTCAACCAAATTACAACTATAGCAAAACACCAGGGCACTAGGACCCAGAGAGGCTTCTGCTCTATTCCAGCCCTGCTCTGAGGTGCCACCCACTCTGCAAATTGAGAGTGGAGACTGTGGGCCGATATAATCATTATTCAACTCTTTAGCCAAGAGAGCAGAAACAACACCAGGTTCATCCAGCGACAAGGACGAATGGATTTTGTGTGGCCTTGCAAAAGCTACAAATATGCAAACATGCAAAAGTGCATAAAGATTCATTGAAATGACTGCATCATTGCACAAAACATTCCCATTAAAACTGACAAAAGGTCCACCATGCTCATCTCGAGGAGCACCTACAGGTTCAGCACCATGGACAGTATATGCAGCCATGCCAGTGTAGGCCCTCAGGCAGAGGAGTGGCAGTGGGAGCTACAAAGCGGCACAGAACCAGCAATTGAGGAGTTCAGGATCCCCCGGAATGAGCTGGAGGATGTTACATGGGACTCCCTGTTTTCTCTACTGTTCTCGTGACCCTAGCTGGATCAAGCGGTTTAAGAAGATGAATGAATGAATAAATGAGGGTCAGGATCAAAAGCCTTTCAGTTGCTTATGTTCTCAGCCACTTTAATAAATGGAAGCTTTAACGAAAGTTCTGCCAGGAAGACTCTAATGCTACGTCATTCATCCATTGGTCCTGACCAATCATGGACCTGCACCTGTCTTTAAATGACTCGACTTATGCACCTATTCTGCTTCGGATTTCAGGTGCTGACATTTTGATGTTCACCTCCTTCATCCCCACCACCACCATTTGGGTCCTTGTCTGGTTGTCGGGGGTAGGGTCCACGCCCTGCAACCTCTATTCTGTAGAATCAGCGAGGGTCTCGGTACTCCAAGACCTGGAGCGAGGACACGGCCTACACCAAAGACTCTTTAATTTCTACTGAATTGTTTTCTTTCAACTTGTACAATTGCCCTCCTTCACTCTTGCCTCCTGAGTCTTTCTGGCAGAAGTGCGATTCCTTGTTGATACAGTCACTATTAGTACATGTGTTTGTATGATAATTAAGATGCATTGTGATTCTTCAGTCTATTTCTAGTGAGCACATTGACATGATTTTTCCTCTGTCCTGGAATTTCTGTTTTTTTATTGCACGTAAGCAAACAAAGTATATATTAACTATCTCGATATCTGACTATATCTCCTATCTGCAACTGGCCTACTGTATTAGATACACCTTCCAACTATACTATATTAAATGAATTAAAAGGGTAAAATATCCTTGTATGTTCAGTTCAGCTTCCTCTGGAATCACTACACACACATTTTGATCACATGATCTCTCTGAAAGTTCTTCGTGCCACTTGCTTTCAATGACAAACGTCACTTTAGGAAATAAACACAACACACTTGTGCAGTACAAAATTACTCTTTATGTCTATGAAGCATTTTTACCACATTTTTTGCGATGCTGAAAATGGCAAGGAATGGTGAGGAACTTAAAGCAAAGAAAGTATTAATATATTTCAAGTAAAGAAGAAAGCATCAAGCTACATAGTTGTTCTGTATTCTGATATACTTATAGTGGTTGTTTTTGCCCTGTTCAATGATTTCTGGCACTTAATATGTTACTTATTGTTTAATAATCTCTCCTCCATTTTAAAAATGCAGGTCACATTTTATATGTATTCTAAAAAGTATCAGCTACAGAAGCCAAAGGCAGTTTATTGTGAAATATAGTCTTAGAACTTAGAATGCAATATTTGTCCTCACCAGTAAAAACACTTCACATAGGAAAGAGCAGAAAACCAGTGAAAGTGCAATAGTTGTCACTGTAGTCATAAATCTGACTGTGACTTCTGAGCACAACATACACATGATCTCCTTTCTGCAGCAGCAGAGTGGCTCCACCAACGGCGTACTCAAACGAACCTCTTGGCCGTTCAAGCACTCTTAAGATGTTCTCCCGATTTTTGTACAAACTTGCGTCCAGCCAGTGTGAACTGCTGTAACCAGCTAAATTAAACCTGAAGTAATAGACTCCTCTGAGTGGAGCAGTGAAAACACCTGCAGAAGGAGAAACAGATGGATCAGTACAGAGTCTCTACACCACCAGAGAGAAGAACCAAACCAGACATCAGACACTGTCTCTGTACTGACTGTGCATTTACCTGTGACTGTATTGTACGTCTTTCCAACATCTGTGATTTTTTTTCTGAAAGCCAGTATGACGCCAGAGCTGTGAGGCCCAAAATAGCCATTTAGGCCTAAAGCGTATGAGAACGCCACCTTTCGCCTGACTGCAAACAGAAACATGTACAGTCTCAGGGCAAATTTGATCTTTTTCCGTGAGAAACATGTACAATGTGGTTTGGAGAACTGCTGACCTGGTCACTGCAAAAAGTAAATTTAGTCAATAAATCTAATATCTCTACTGTTGAGATTGTTGTAAGCTTAATTTACGATTATGTAACTCATTTCTAGACATTATTTTAAGTAATTTTATCAAGTAAAATTATAGTGGCAGATAATTTTGCTTGTTTCTAGAAACAAGCAAAGACAAGATGCCATTTTTTGCAGTGTGCCTCTGACTTTTAAATGATTATTAGTTTACAGTTTGACCCCTGCCTATCTCAAGGATCCAACCAAAAGCTCTAGCACTGCATCTTCACCTCCTCTAGTACCAGAAGATTCACCCCCAAAAGCCATGAGACCCTCAACCTGACAGTCCACCGCATCCATGGAGTTCCAGCCAGAGGCTCTAGCACTGCATGTTCAGCTCCTCTTGTGCTTTGGCAGAGCTGGACTGCCCTTAATAAAACTACTCTGCACATGGAGCCTGACTACAAACTCAGTTTGTTATATTTACATACAATACATGTTTACGTCTGAGATTAATGAAGAAAAAACGTTGCTCAGATTTCTAATGAAGAATTTGAAAAATGATCTTTCTGTTTCATATTTAAGTCTTACTTGAATCCTCCTCTCCCAGCGCTTCAGCACTCAGTTCAGTAGAGTCCGCACTCCCCTCCACAACTGTGAAACACACAAAAATAATTAATAAATTTTACACCAAGGGGACCACTTTACATATATACACACACACACACACACACACACACACACACACACATATATATATATATATATATATATATATAAATATATATATACACATATTATTTATGTAACCAGGCAGCAAGGTTCAGACGCGTGCGGATAAAAGTAAGAGCACAGGCTTTATTAACAATGGGCAAAGTCGTAGTCGAGGTACAGGCAGGGGTCAAAACCAAAAGGCAATAAAATAATGATCACACAAGTGATCATAACCACAAGCACACAAGTCCAAGGGGCGAGACAAACCAGATCGGGGTCAAAACAGAGTAGGCAAACCAAAGAAAACGCTCAGCAAGTTCACAATAGAAACAATACCTCGCAAAGGTCCTATGCTAAAGCCCGGGCTAAAATACTAAACTAGGTTAGTCACATGACTGAAACAAACAGGTGAAACCACTCAGTATTCAGGTGACTGTGAATGCTGATAGGTGCGAGGTTGATCATCATCAGTCACATGATCTTCCCTTGGCTGCTGGGTAATGTGGTCCACAAGGGATGCCGACTCCATTGGGAAGTCTGGTGTCACGTGACCTCCCAGGTTCTCCTGGGAAATGTAGTCTGTTACTTCAGACAAGTCTCTAGCAGGCGTGACAATTTATATATAAAGATTTCAGGTCATGAAAATAAATAAGT